AGCCCTTGGGAGCTGGTGAGCTGGCCCAAACTCCAGCCAGTGGCTGTTTATGCCTTCAGCATGAAGGCAGAGGTGAAAAGTATCGCACAGCTTTGGGGGCTTGCTTTTGCTGATCCTTCCTTGGGCAATCATTATGCCACCCCACCCTGAGGGCTCACCTCGGTTTAAAGACTAAGGTGCACCTGATCCAAGCCATGGTCTTTTCAGCCAGTGTCTTCCTAAGCACCTGAGAGCTGGACAATGAATAAGGAAAAAAGAAGAAGAATCTATGCCTTTGAATTGTGGTGCTGGAGGAGAGTATTGAATATTGCATGGATTGCCAGAAGAACAAGCAAATCTGTCTTGATGGAAGTATAACTAGAGCGCTTCTTGGAAGCAGGAGGTGACATTTTGTTTCACTTCTAGAGGGCATATTTTCACAAGGAATAAGTCCTTGGAGAGACATCATGCTGGGGAAGATAGAAGTCACCAAAAGAGGGAGACCCTCAACAAGATGGATTGACTCAGTGACTTCCATAATGGGTATGAGTATGACAGGGACTGTGAGGACGGTGCAGAATTGGGAATCCACTTAAGTTCGATATCTGCTGCTCATAGAGTTGCTATGAGTTGTATTTGACTCGATGACACCTCACAACCACCACAGGGGATCAAAGTGACTGACGTGTTCCTTTTGGTGAAAGGGAGAAGAGTGAATGCTGAGGGAGCTGATAGGATCCCCTGCTTGTCCTGTATAATTCAAGATTCAGAGTCACTTCTCTGCTGTGGATGAACTAGATGATCCCTCCAAATCTTCGTGGAGAGGCTCACCTTGGGAACACGTACCTCCTTGGTTGCATTAAATACTTCTCGGATAGAGTATCAGCCTCCAGCCCTTTCACTGGATCAAAATAAATGCTGGCAAATTCAGTCAAAACAGTCATAAATTTGGGCTTTTGGCTTTGTGTTGGGAAAACATCCAAATGACTAACTGAATTTAAGATTTTCAGTCTGTTGCATTGCCACGTAAGGAGGAAAAGATAGCTCTTCAGATGAGTCTGTCAAAGTGGCAGTGGTGTGAACAATTTCATTCTGGGCTCATAGATCAAGGCCAATCCAGGGCCATCAAGTCCATTCCAACTCATGGGGACCTCACACACGCAGAGCAAATGGCTCTACAGGGTTTTTAATGGCTGTGACCTCCAGGAAGGACATGATCAGGTGTTCCTTCCAAAGGCACCTCTGGGTGGGTTCAAACCTCTGACCTCTGGGTCAATAGTGTTTAACCATTTTCATCACTCAGAGCTTAAAACAGAACAAAAGGTATTTGAAACCACTTTGTGTTAAAACAACAACAACAACAAACCCAACACAAACCACCACAGCTCAACTAGATTAATTTTTAAAAAACGGATTCCTCCTTTAATGACATAACAGATGATGAATTAGGAAAATGTTATTTTTTAATGTTTTGACTGAGCCTTTCAAAAACATGTTGATAAAATGTTGAAATCTGTTTTTAATTCAAAGACTGTTATGAGTTTTGTTACTATTTAAACCCCAGGCAGAAGTGCAAATGGAGGGGCTGCTTGCTTCTCTCCATTTGGGCTGTTGTTGACTTTCTTGAACAACCCTTGGAGTAAGAAGTGGTCTGGATGCCCAGTGTGGGACGCTCAGAGTCCATTTTTTGAGGGTCCAGTCGCATGGCAGTGAGAATAGGGTTGGAGCTCCGAGTTCAAGCCTGGGGATCCCTTCCCTAGGTCCTCCTTCTAAGGTCCCTTGGTGGTGCCTCTGGCCTCAGTCTAGCCTGCCTTTCATGACTTGATAATCAGCAAGCTGTCCCTGGACTTGCAGTATAACTTGCTTTGGAGCTTATAAGAAATTCAGAATTGTGAATTCTGTCTCAGACTGACTGGTTCAGAAAAAGACTTTCAGCTGGTTCATTCCAGGCCAACCTCCTGCTGAGAATTTGCATTTTTATCCCAGATAGACTAAATTAGAATCTATATTAAAGTGTAGGTTCTGGTTTAGTGTCTCTGGGACGAAAAGGAAAATTCTAAGCAGGGGTTTCAAGCAGGAATGAGCCAGTGGGAAGTCCTGATTCTACATATTCACACTAACAAGATACCTGGGTGCTTGGTACGCACATGGGAGTTGGAGAAAAGCTGTTCTGTCTCTTCCCCGCCGTGTGGCCGACTGGAGCATCTCTCCAGCCTCCTCTCCTGTCTCTCCCCATTGCTGTCTACGCTCAATTGTGAAGACTGAATTCAAGCCCTGGATCTGCCATCGTCTAGTCATATTTCTTGGGTAAACCACCTGTGGTTCTATGAGCCTCAGTCAGTTTGCTCATCTGTACAAGGGAGCAATTACAACAGTTTCACAAGGATATTGTGAGAATCAAAGTATTAACGAAGTGAGGGCTTGGCCTCTCTCATTCTACTTTGTTTTTCCTCTATCTCCAGCCAACAGCTTCGCACATTCTGTGGAACATTGATATTCTTATGAAATTACAGTTAAGAAAAAAGACACATTTAATGGCTAATGTGGGCTGTTAGATTAGCTGGGTCAATGCTCTAATTTCTATTTTCTCACTCATGTGGGCTGTTAGATTAGCTGGGTCAATGCTCTAATTTCTATTTTCTCACTCATTGCTTCACTTTTTTTCTGAGGCTCAGTTTCTTCAAAAGTAAAATGGGGTAACAGGAAGATGCTGTGCCAATTACTCCAGGCAATCAATTAATGCATGTGAAGTACCTGGCAAGTGTAAGCTCTCAATTAGTAACAAATCTCACTATTACTACTGTTACTATGATTACTCACCCTCAGTAGAACTCTCGTTGCCAAAGATGTGACAGTGTGTTGGGGAGGAGGTAGAATGCTATGCAAAGAGAAATCAGCACAGAAGTACTTATATTCCTTATTCCTTTTAGGATGCGGCTTTTGGCCCGTGAATTTGTCCTGACAATTAAGTCTCCACTCTCTACCTATGGAATCCCATTCTGTGCATTATCTACTAATTATCCATTAATCCTTGACACGGCAAATCTTTTTTCTTTCACCCAGTGTTCTCTGGACCACCTCATACTTCATGGAAGTCTATAGAGCAGACTGGTATTCCATTCAACTGTTCATATCAATTTTGCTTTATGACATCAATAAAACCCCCACACTGTATCAGTCCCCTTCCCACTCTTTCTCGATTCTTCCTCCCATTCATCTCTCTCACCTCCTCCTCCCTGCTTTCTAAACTTTATCCCTGGGCAACCCACTGCCCCTAGTGATCTCGTCTGGTTGACAGTTCTAGAGATGGAGTGCCTCCTTGGAGCTACCATCCACCTTACAGAAGAGCCTGTTGTTTGACTAGCAGTTCCCTTCTCACTAAAGGAGGTTTATGAAGAACCTCAGGCCCCAGTGGACTGTATTTCCTGACATTCTGTCCAAACACACAAAGCCAGCATCTGGTTGCCCTGTTGACTACTAGCTCCGGAAGGCATTTGGCCCCTGTGTGCGGGGGGTGGTGGTGTGAGGGAGTTGACTCCACAGGTGTTTGCCTGCACCTGAGGAGTTGGTGTGGGCATGGCTGGAGAGCCCAGAGTGGTAGGGCCAGGCTGTGTGAGAAGCCATCCTGTGCTGAAGGATGGTTTTCCCCTCTCTATGTGTGTTAGGGGGCTTTGCATACCCACCCCCTTCTCAGGCGGAGAGGCGCTGCTGGGATGAATGAATGGTGTTTTTGATGGGTGTCTTCCATACCTGTGACAGTATAAAAAGCAAGCCACTCTTCCCAGCTCTCCAGGTGCCATCTGCTCAGTTGTTCCACCTGGCATGCCCTGGAAAGGAGGCAGACTCCCACTCAGCCTGAGACTCGGTCCTAATGTGACCTCCTCACCAGAGTCTGAGCTCCAGTCAGCCACACCTTCCACTGTGCACTGGCTCGTACACAACTCCCTGTAAGAGTCCTTTCCATAAAGAGTCCAGCTACTTACAGTCAGCTCCCTTCCCTAGACCAAGAACCATACCCTACAGCTCGTCCCATGCAGGCTGCTATGGGCACAGCATCAGCAGCTACTGAACATCCACTAAATGGTCACAGAACATCAGCAGGCAGCTCTGGGTAAAGGCAGGGTGAGAAGGTTGATTCAGAGAGAGGGGAAGAGGCAATGAAAGTGTAGGAGCCCATTTAGCAGTCCAGGAACAAGAGCATGAGATGAGGAAGGAGGAAGAATGGGGTCATCATTAGAATATGGGTTCAAGTTCATCGTGAGCAAAACTCGACTCCTCTATTAACATCTATAATCAAGAGCTGGACTGACTGACACGTGAATGTCATTTAGCCACTTAGTGATGACGTAGAGTGTCACCTACATGCTGTTAATCAAAAAGTTAGCAGTTCAAACCCACCAGACATTTCATGAGAGACAGAGACACAGTCTGTAAAGATTTACAACCTTGGAAACCCAATGGAAGTTCACTGTGAGTACGCCAGGCAGGGTTACTTTATTTACTACCAAGATTCCAAAAATCGAACTAAACCCATTGCTGTTCAAGTAACTCCAATGCACAAAACTTTACAGTGGGCTTTCCTAGGTTGTAATCTTTCCCTGGGGAGCTTGGCTACTGACCCAGAGGCCATGCCTCTCTGGCAGTCTGAACCCACAAGTGACTCCTGGGCAGAAAGATGGGCAATGTCCCTCTCCTGCACCTGTGGCATTCATAACCTCAGAAGCCAAGTGGGGGCAGTCAGCTCTGAGTTGGTTCCAACACAGTGGCAATGGGAGTCAATGAATCACTGCCATAACTTCTACCTGTTGCATGGTTTGTACTGCTGACCCTTCGGTTAGCAGCCAAGCTCTTAATTAACCATTGCACCACGGGGACTCTGCCCTACGAAGATTGCAGATATGCATTTGGGAGAGGGTCGAGATATGCATTTGAGAGAAGGTAGAGAAAGGAATGAGAGAGAGAAAGAGAGAAAGTGAGAGAGATTCTCTTTTCCAGGGGCTCTTAGAGGGGCTGTCACTCACCAGTTCCTTCCTGAGCCAGGTTATAGCTGCATCGATACTTTCAAAGCCTTCCAGCTTGCCAGTGCCAAGGGGGCTCTGGCCCTGGCCAGCTCTCCCGTTAGGTGAAGAATGCTGCCTGCTTTCCCCTGGGAGCAGCGAGGTCTCCTCTCCACACTGCCTCTGCTCGGGGCTGGTGTCCTGCTGGGCAGCTGCCTTGGGGAAGGTCCATGTCTGTTCCTCCAACTTGGCCTGCCACTCCAAGTAGGAGGGTCTGCGCGTCTCAAGCCTCAGTTTCTCGGTGAGGGCCTTCAGGCTCCTGAGGTGGTCATCAGGAGGCAGGACGGCACCTTCTGACCCTTCATCTCCATCTACCTCTTCTATTTGGATCTGGGGCACAGACATTCTATCTTCTGTCTGAAGAGCCAGACATAGGAGGTGGTGGGAGGCAGCGCGGAATTCCTGGTAGGAGGCGAGGCTGGGTCCTGCTCTGGAAAGACCTCATCCAGCTGGGGCCAAGGCTCCTGAGGGCATGTGAATGGCTTTGAAGGGCTGAAGAGCGCCCAGATCCAGAAAGATCTGAGCCCGAGAGAGCGGGAGCTGCCAGCTGCCCTTCCCCAGGCTGCCTCGAAGGTTCTGGGCTAAGACTCTTCCTGGAGACCTGCAGGTCCCATGCTTCACACAGGGGCAGGACTAGACAAGCGTTAGCACGAATCTTCAGGGGAGACTTTGCCAAGAGGATCTATCAATCCTTGAAGTGCAGACAGATCAGAGGCTGGCTCAGGAAGCAGCCCCCAGAGTTCCCCTCCCTTGGAGGAGTGCAGGTGGCGAGAAGCTGCTGGTTGGCGTGGAGCCTCTGGCCCTGGAGAAAGGACGAGAATGATGTCAGTGCTAATCCCTCAAGCACGTGAGGTCTGTGGTCCTACTGAGGCTCTTTAGTCACAGGTCCACTCCGAGTCCATGCCACAGTGGACTTTAAATGACAGTGACAGAATCTAGCGGTCCTATCTCCTGGCTGAAGAAGAGAAGTGGAACAATCTGAAAGCCTCAGTATGATGCAGAGAAACTCCAAGTTAATAAATAAGTGAATATTTGTAGAGTATTTGATGATTTAGACAATAATTTCAGCTCAATTGTACCATTTAATCCTCACAGAAAACCTATCCTTAGCTGTCTCTAATCCCCACTTTACACAAGGACTCTTTGAGTTAGGTGACTCATCTGTGGGCTCTCAGCAAGTGGCAGGTGGGAAAGTACAGGCCTCCAGATTCCAGGGCACAGACCTCCCCTCCATGCAGCAACTGCAGCCTCTGACCCCTCCTCACCCTGCCCACCACAGCCCCCAGCCTCCATTTTGGCTCTTGAAGACTCACAGTAACACCCCCTCTCCTCCCCCCCCCCACACACACACTGTCTCCTGCTTCTCCCTCTAAGAACAACATCTTACCTCACTCCTCAGAGGCGGAAGCAAACAAACCCTCAGCTGCTAAAGGGAAAGAGTTGACGGTATTCAAGTTTGATCGTTAAACTGAATGAGGCTCATGACTCACTGTTCTAGAAAGAGGGTGCTCAAGTTGGCTTTAAAATGCCCACACAGCAACAGTCTCCTGGCAATGACTGATATGATTTGGCCTCCCCACCTCCTCACCTCCGGTGAGCAGGTAGAAACCAAAATTCCTTTTCTATAGAGTCAGAGGACATGGCAGATACATAACCTAATATAGTTAGACTGAGACTTTAGCCTCCCAGCCCCATGCCTTTTCTTTGTGTCCAAGAGAGAGGAGATGGGTTTAAATCCCAGAAGAAGATAGTTGACTTCAACGAAGGGTACATACTCTTGACTTTTAGAGTAATTTTAAACACACACACACAAAAACCAACAAACTATGCTGATGAAATGCAGCTGTTAAAGATAATACATTAATACAGACTGATTTAGTAGGTTAAGTATTAGACTGATAACTGAAAGGTTGGCTGTTCCATTCCATTAGTCACTCCACAGAGAGCCAGCTCCCAGGAACATTTACAACTGTGGAAACACAATTGACGGTTGTCATTAGCTGGAATTGACACTGTGGTGGTGGGTTTGGTTTTCATTTTGGGGACCAAGAGAAATTCTAAACTTAAAAAAGCAAAGTGTACAGCAGCCTCTCGGTGTGAAGAAGGGGAAAATAAGAAAGAAGAGAGATTTCTATCAACTTGTACATGCGTTACTTAGATCCACAATTGATACCCTGAGTGCCAGCAGGCAGGAGATGAGGAAACATATTGCATTGAGAAAGTCCACTGTCAAGCAACTCTTCAAAGTACTGAGGAGCAAAAATGTTAGGCTGAAGACTAAGGTGTGACTGATTCAAGCCATAGTCTTTTGCAATCACTTGTTAAGCTGCTGAGAGCTAGACAATGAATAAGGACGACAGAGAATTGATGCCTTTGAGATGTGGTGTTGGAGACGAGTACTGAATATTCCAGGAACTTCAAAACAACAACAAAAACACACACCAAAAAACCCAAGTTATGTCTCGATGAAGGTGTAGCCAGAGCGCTCCTTGGAGGCAAGAGTGGCGCAGCTTCATCTCACATAATTTGGGCATGTTGCTAGACGAGGCTATTCCTTGGAAAGGGACATCATGCTTGGAAAAGTTGAGAGGGTCAGTGAAAGAGGCCAAGACTCTCAATGAGATGAATAATAGATATAGTTACTACAGCAAGGCGCTCAAGTGTGTCAGAAATGATGCGGATGGCACAAGATAGGCCAGGTTCATTCAGATCTGTTGTTCATAGGGTCACTATGAATCATAATCAACTCGATGACACCTAACAAAAACAGTAATGTGCTTTAAAAAATCTTCCAGGATGGAAGAGAAACTAGTAGCTGTTATTGCTTATATAAAGTGATGGGAAGACGGCAGATGGGGAGCAGTAATAAGAGAGGAAAAGCCTAAGGGTGGGCAGCAAAAATGAAAACCAGACCAGGCCACCAACAGAAGGGTAGGATTCCCCCCAGATGGTGCATAGAGCCATACAAGAAGAGGAGCCTAGCCTGCTTTCTTTTTTCTCTTTAAATATGTGTGTGTGTGTGTGTGTGTGTGTGTGTGTGTGTGTGTGTCTGTCTGTCTGTGTGTGTGTGTTTGTGTGTAAGCATATTAAAAAACACATTTTACACTGGTTTACTTACAAAGTTCATATACCTTGCTTTTCCACACCAGATCTTTCCCTTCTTAACTCCTGTCTCCTGCTCTGGGCACTCTTGGGAGTGAGGAGGAATATTGACCTCAGGTAATAGCAAAGGGACCTGCTTTTCAATTCTGGCTGCACGGGAGAATCCCCTGAGGACTTTTGCAAGATTCTTTGATGACCAGGCTCTAATAAGTGGATCTAGGGTTTGAATGACGCTATCAGCACTTGCTTAAAGCTACCCACACTCTTCTGTGTCCAAACAAGTGGAGAGGGGTTTAAACTGGAGTAGGAGACAGGTAACCTCAACCAAGGTCTTGACTTTCAGCATGAGTTTTCTTTAAAAAAACACAACACAACACAACCCTGCAGATGAAACACAGCCATTAAAGAGGATATCTCTATGAAGACTGATTCTTACATTTAGGGATCTGATAACCTAGCTTTATGTCTCCTCTGACTCACCAAGCCTTAGTTGCCTTTATCTGTAAAATGGGGCTTATAATATCAATCATCAAGGCTCTTGGAGACTGGCCAAACTGAGGTTTGTACACCCTCTGTGAGTGGGGGGCTTTCTCCCAGGGTCTTTCTGTACAGTCCCACACTCACACAGATTGCTTTTTACTACGTCTCTAAATATACTTATTAGCGGCTTTCCGGGGGCCCTTCCTGGGCGCCGACTGCTTCTTTGCTGCGGTGCCAGAATCGGGTTTGAATGTGCCTGTGAGGGAGGCTGTTGACCCCACAGGGCTTCCTTCCCCTGACAGAGAGCTCCAATTATTTGACGGAAGCCTGGGGGAGAGGATCCAATTTCGGACGAACTGATGAGCGACATGATGAGCAATACCCACTGTACAGTCATTCTGTGAATGAGCAAATGAGCGAGAAGCTGGCTTTGCTTCTCCTTCTACCATGACGCCACAGGCTGAAGCGCTCTTAGGTGTCTGAGGTGAAGAACAGCTACAACTCTGTGACTTTATGGGACTGGATGGGGAAGAGGAAGTTTATTTTAGTGGTGGTGGTTATTAAGTTTCATTGAGTGTGGTTCTGACACATGGCAACCCCATCTGTTACAAACCTCATCTGCTCTGTAGGGTTTTCTTGCCTTTAATCTTTATGGGAACAGGTCACCAGGCCTCCTTTCTAGACCTCACAGGGTACATTCAAATGGGGAACCTTTAGATTAGCTGCTGATTGTAAGACATTAGCACCGGGGTTTCTAAATTGGCTCAGGTGGGCCTGTCAAGACAATGCCAGAAATATTTCCAGGCATTAACAGGCGTGTCAGTGAGCCGTGATTCAACTAATTGTGCTCCTTCGGTCCACGGAGCTTTTTGGAGCATACAGAGCATTTGTGTGCACATTGTTCTCACCCGTACTTCCGGTAACCATGGGGAAGAGGCAGAATTACCCATTTCGCAGACAGTTGGGAGAATCCAAGACTGGGAAAACTTACGTGACTCGCTGATGGTCAGAGGCAGGACTTTTCCACACAGTAGGTGGCAGAGGTACTAGTCCTTAGGCAGATGTACTGCCAACCCCAAGGCAGTGCCTCTTTGATGGTATGAATCACCAGCGACTCCTCAGGAGAGAGATGGCCACTATCCTACCACGTGAGTTATAGTTTCTCAACGCCCCCCAGGAGGCTGGGTGGGCTGAGGTGGCTCCAACTCAAGAGCAGAGAGCCAGACACCCTCTAGTGAGGTTCCAAATCCTGGTTCCTCCACCATCTATAATCTTGGGAAGGTCATTTAATAATTTGTGTCTTTACTTCCTTTTTGGAGAAGTGGGGATAATCAGGATATAATTTAGAACATAAAATACAGTATCATTTAGTGTGCTATTATTGTAACCGGTTGGTAATCAGCTGTGTAACTAGCAGGTGCCTAGGGCAAAATGAAGGTGGGTTGGTGGTGCAATGTTCAAGCACTCAGTTGCTAACCAGAGTTCAGAGGCAGTGCCTCTGTGAGATAAAAGACCTAAAAATCTGCTTCCTTAAAGGTTACAGCTTGGGAAATCCAATGAAGCAGATGTACTGTGTCATGTAGGGTCTCTATGGGTTAGAATAAACTCGATGGAACATTGCAGTAATAGGACAAAATCAAAGGCCCCTTGCAAAGGATTGTAAAACAGCAGAGGTTAAGCCAGCATGGGCTGTTGTAAGCGCTGGGCTCATTGTCACTGCTCAGGCCCCAGACCAAGAGACAGGCCTACAAATCATCGTATCA